CTCAAAATGGATTAAGGACCTACATGTAAGACCTGAAATCATAAAACTGCTAAAAGAAAATATAGGCATATGTAAACTCTTGGATATCAGCCTTAGTAATATTTTTCTGGATCTGTCTCCTAGGTCAGGGAAACAAAAGCAAAAAGAACAACAAATGTTGGAAAAGGTTGTGGAGAAAGGGGAACCCTGTTACACTGTTGGTGAGAATGCAAGTTGGTACAGCCACTTTGGAAAACAGTGTGGAGGTGCCTCAAAAAATTAAAAATAGAGCTACCCTATGACCCAGCAACTGCACTACTGGATATTTACCCCAAAGATACAAATGTAGTGATCCGAAGGGGTATGTGCACCCCGATGTTTATAGCAGCAATGCTTTGATCCTTTAATTGCAATGAGTTAGTTCTAGGACAGCCAGTGATAGAAATCAACAGGTTATTTTTCTCATTCCTTTATTCTTTACTCGTACTATGTCCAGCTCTCTAACAAAGAAGGGATTTCAAAATTCTCAGCTATCCAGGATCCCTGAGGGGACGGTTCACTGTATCTTAGGATTGGGTCCAGAGGAATTATCCCAATCCATAACTAGGCTCCATGAGGATGGCCAATGACAGGAGCAAGGGCCTAAAGTGACAAAAAAATAAAAGAAAAAATAAAGGACTGAATTATGTTACCAATATAAGACAAATGGAAAAGGTCTCTCTGTATTTTCTAATAGAAGTAATACACAGGAAGAGGCATAATCTCTGTACAAAAAAAGGACTTCTCACAAGTGTGCAACTGTCCTGTGGTAGACTGTAAACATGGACACAAACTATCCCCTCCTTCTATCCACACTCTTTGGTCGAGCCCACCTACAACTCGGCTGGCCCCAGGACTTGCTCCAGCTGGCCTTTAGTAAATTTGACACAGGCAGATGTTTGCAAACATCTGTGTGCAGAGGCTCCTCCGCTTGCTGCTCTTAGGAACCTTGCCCCACCCTTGTGAACAAACCCAGCCTATTCTGCCACATGATGAACAATTTGCAGCAAGGGCATCCCTGACCTCCAGCTGACTTTGTGCCAAGTGCCAACCAGATAAGTGAGACCAACCCAGACCATTCAGCCCCAGTAGATGTAGCCCAGACTAGAGAAACCACCCAGTAGAACACAGAACAATGAGAAATAACATTTGTTGTTTTAAGTCAGTATGTTTTCAGGTAGTTAGCAAAAGCTAACTGATAGGGACGCCTAGGTGGCTCAGTCAATTAAGTGTCTGCCTTCGGCTCAGGTCATGATCCAAGGGTCCTGGGATCAAGTCCCGTGTCGGGCTCCTTGCTCAGCAGGGAGCCTGCCTCTCCTTCTGCCTGCCATTCCCCCTGCTTGTGTGCTCTCTCTCTCTCTCTGACAAACAAATAAATAAAATCTTAAAAAAAAAAGCTAACTGATAAAATTACATATTCTCTTTTTTGGTTGCCCTATATAAATACATTGTGTGTGTGTACATGTATACTTTGTCGTCTAGAAATGAGCACACAGACCTTAATGTTAACTTGCTAAATATTCACAGTTTATTTCATTGTCTTCCAAGGGAAGGAAAACTTCATTACTCAGTGATGTCAGAGTGTTTTCCAGTGTTCTTCTCTTCACAGAAATATTTGTAACTTTTCCAGAGTAAAAGGTCTAGATTTCATTAGACTGTCAAAGGTGCTCATGAACACAATAGGTTAAGATCTTCTGCTTATTTTTTTTAAAGATTTTATTTATTTATTTATTTGAGAGAGAAAGAAAGAGCATGAGAGGGGAGAGGGTCAGAGGGAGAAGAAGGCTCCCCACCGAGCAGGGAACCTGATGTGGGACTCGATTCCAGGACTCCGGGATCATGACCTGAGCCGAAGGCAGACGCTTAACCAACTGAGCCACCCAGACACCCCAAGATCTGCTGCTTAAAGGGGAGGTTCTAGTATGAGGGAAGAATGTTGGAAAATGAGATGACCTTGATTTCTAGAGAGCAAACCTAAGTTACTATCCTGATAGATGAAAAGTAGAACTATGCAAGGAAAATTAAAGACTCAATTTCCCCAGCATTTCATGAATAAACTCATTACTTTGACTTACTATCTCAACATTATCAAAAACATTGATGAAATACACATGTGTGCATTCTAAATTTTCACATAACGGTGCCTGCCTTCAAAATTTTCCAGGATTTTCTTCATTTTCAAATATTGTTACTTTGTAACAGAAATCCCAATATTTGATTCTAAATGAAATCTTCCAGGCTGCTTCTCAAGTCCAGAACAAAAATCTTTATTTTTTTTTTTAGATTATGTGTCCCATTTTTTTTTAGAAATTATGTTACAAAAGGTTATGATCTTGAAAGATAAATAACCCAATTAAAATGGAAAATGGATCTGCATAAAGATTTCTCTAGGGGGGTGGAGCAA